TGCAGTGCGCTTCAGGGAGCTCCTGTGGCAAAATGTACACTGGGTCAATATCTGTGGCTAATATCAGAAAGAGAACTGGCAGCTCACGTCTTAAAGTATAATTGTTTCGGGTGAAACTCCAACCATTAATACCAAGAGAAAAACCTGGCTGAATGGCTGAAAACCTCATATTATCTTACAGTTCAGAATGCAAGAGCCACAAATGAACACTTCATTTAAACTGTGTCCGATATTTTTATATACCCAGTTATGTTTACTGGGTCGTGTGGTGAATGATCTTTTCTTCAACATTTTTTTAAAAAAAATATTTATCCAAAACCATGCTAGTCCATTCATTTTCTTCCACGTATTCAATTCAGGGTTGTAGGGCAGCTGGAGCCTACACCATCACCCCTCACAGGTCATCATCCCAGCTGTCACTGGGCAAGAGGCAGGGTACATCCTGGACAAGTCGCCAGTCTGTCACAGAGACAGACAACCATTCATGCTCACATTCACACACATGGCCAGTTTAGCTAACCCATGGATGTGTGTGCAGACACGGGAGCACTAAAAACCTTTGTGCCGTGAGGTAACAGTACTAACCACCACGACATGCCCTAACTGCTCCCTTCTGTCAATAATTTCAATTACTAAAATTGGATGAATTCTCAAATATTACTTCCTAGTTGCACAACAATTGTTCTCCTGTAAAGTTAAATCACTTAATAGACTCCACAATAGGAATTGATCATCTATAAATACCGACATGCAAGGCTTTTATTTTTAATTTGGCAGCCTCCTCTGCACTGTGGAAACCTGTGTTACACACATTCCTGGAGAGATTTTGTGTCATTCTTCTGACAACTGTTTGGTTGCATTAACACTTTCAGTCTTCAGAAACTCTCTCCTCGGATATTCATCAGGATCACCGTTTTCCTGTGCCAGGCTTGCAGTGCTTCATTCTGATACTATATTGTAGCAGTCCTCACCAGGTTTATGTCAGTTATGCTGAACTCTGAACATGAACTGAGAAAATTTCTCTTGGCATTATTAACAAAGATTGTATCGTCAATTCTCTTTACACTCCTTACACTGCAAAGTGCTCTGCAAAGCTAGACTGCGTACCACACTGCTGGGTGAGTCACTTCAGGACAGCTACTGTGGCTCTGGTCAGATTTTTTTTACTTGTTTGTGTTTTCATCTCAAAATCTAGATAGAAAAGTCGATTATTGCATGTCAAACTTTGGACTTCCCAGCAACCCTGTGCTGCCAGTTACAGCAGCAAACAAGAAGTAAACAACACCAACACCGTACAAGTACATTTGATAATCAAATCATGGCTGATCTATTTTAAGCGATTTACACCACATCTACCACCGACCTGTCACTTCCAAATAAGGTGACAGGGTGTAGACAGGAAATGTGAACCATTGTGTGCAGGTTGCTTCTAAAACAAATAAGTGTGTGTGTGTGTGTGTGTGTGTGTGTGTGTGTGTGTGTGTGTGTGTGTGTGTGTTTCTTACCCCAGCCAGCAGAGGTGTGGGTGACACGGTTTCTCCATCTGGCCCTTGGGGCGCGCAGAGCTGGGGTGACATGGTGGGCGATTCATCTATAAAGGGCAGCGTTTCTGAGCCATCCTGGGACTTGCCGTCCTCTCCTGCGTCCCCCTCGTATCCATCTGTGTTATAGTTAAAGTCTGGAGGACAGGACACAGAAAAAGACAAATATACTGATCAGCAAATCACCCCAAAGTTTTCATCACCACTTGGAACAGCCCAACACTTCCTCAATACAGCATTAAGTTCTCCATTCTGCTACATAACCTTGAGTTGAGGGGTTATAAGAATAAATGCCAGAATAAAGCTTCTCCAAAACATGATGTGTGGGTGAAGCTGACCGCTGTGTTACCCTATGAATGTAAAAAGTCAACATTCATATTTTATTTGGCAAGATATTGTTATAAAATGTTGTCATAATTACTGTATGAATTCTTAAGTTATGGTATATTTAGTGCAAGAAACATTAATGATCATCAGTGATCAAATTATTCAAAGCACTTGCTGAGGTGGTCTGGTGCACATCTGACCATATTTAGGTTGTCGTGTATGTACAGTATAACCCTCTTTGTAGTGCCATTAAACAGCCAGAAATGCCCCAAATTGAATTTTCTTGGGACATTTTGTTGTTTTAATAGATCTTCAACTTTGACTCCCAAAATCTAATGAGTACATTATTGTGTGCAAGTGAATCTTTGTCCCAGATTTAGACAAATCCACTCAAGATTTCCAGGAAACCCAAAAACAAATTGCCCCTGGCCATGAGTGTCACCAGGGCAGAGACATAAAAAACTATGGTTTACATTTTAAAAGCCAGAGCCAAGCATTGAATCAGCCGGCTGTTATTCTCAACCCATATTAGCCATCTAATTATTTTAATATTAACAATCTATGAGTAAGTTAAAATTGAAAAGGAGACACCCTTCAAATATTTTATGTGTTTTTGTACTGCAGCTTCACTGTTGCCAACACTTGGCACCTGTGGATCAGGTCAGGAGAGTCGTTTTTCCAACCAGCACGGCAATTTAATAAATACATTTCAAGAGCAATATATAGATTCATCTTATAAATGTAATGAAAAAGAAGAAGAAGAAGAAGAAATATTCAAACAAGCCAAGGTTAATAAATTAAAAAATAAAAACAACTATTATTATAGATGCTAATGCATTTTTGACTAACCATCTGTGATTAGATTATAATTCTATTTTGGTTTGCTAGTTTCATTCTTGTATTTGTGATACTGCAGTCTTATTTCATATTGTGGGAGTATTGAGGTCAAAAACCATGTCCTGTGACAACGCTCGTGTTCAGGCCCGAGTAGCAGTGACAGCTCCAGTAGAAAGAAACGACAATGACACTGAAATGACTCCTGTCCTGCCTTCAAAGGAGCACTGGTCAAGAAAACAGTGGAATAACAAAAAGGCAGAGGAGATATAAAAAGCCAGTGTCAGATCCTGTAGAAGAAAAGAGATGTGGACTGTTGCTGTGGATGATAAACTACAAAGTACGACACATATGCAAAACTAAAAGAGGCAAGTAATTATCGAGTTACATTTTCCAGGATGTTGTTCTATTTAGCAGTGAAGCATCTTTAAGGAACTCTGAATAGGAGGAGTAAGCTTGTAGCTTGTGAAGCTGTCCCTGTCTGCTTACATATAACGTGCAGTGAGAAGACAACAACATTTCATTATTACTGTGTTCATGTGCTTGAGAGGGCATGTGTGTGTTTGTACCAGTGCGTAAAGGATAGAAAACGCTAACAAGTTTTGGACAAGAACTAATTGAAAAATAAAAGCAGGGATCTATCCCCACTGGGAACACATGCACACTATCACTGGACCACCCACATGTCAATCAACTCCCAATCCCTCCCCACCCATCTGTTAGCTTGTGTGTGGACCATGGAGAGTCACAGTTACCATATGGGTTGCTTGTAAATGGTGCACGTGGGTCTTTGCTGACTCAGTGAAGCAAGTACTGATTATGCGAAGTGCTGCTAGATGACAAGAGTGCATTATGGTGATTAGTGTGAAGAAGGCAGTTAAAAACACTGATGTAAACTCATTTGTCCAACTCCAACTGCGCTGTGATCGTGCCATAGAAAAGATCGGCTCTTCCAATATGCACCTGTGCATGCATTCGGTTCTTTTCTCAGTCTTTCCATCTCTTCTCTCTCTCCGACTCCTCTGAACCCCTTCTGGCCTGCTGTCCGGCTCGTTTTCGCTAATCTGCTTAAATTGCGTGAGTGTATGTAAGAAAAAAAATACAGGGAACTCCCAAGACACTTAGCCAGTGCTAAAGCACTCAACAATGTGCAAATCCTCAAATTTCCTCCCAGCTTACGGCTGGTGTTTTGAAGCTTAACAGTTGGAAGGACGGATGGATAACTCAACAAAAACACTTGAGTCTAGACAAGCACAGAGGTTTCCTCCTCTTTTTAAAAAGAAGTTGCCCGTGACTCACGTCTATTTGCAGAAACATCAACATGCAGAAGAAACCATTCACAAATATATTCCCGGCTGTGCCAAGCAGAGAGCCAGTCGATTAGAGAGAGCAGAGCTGGAGCAGTGGAGACAAAGCACAGCCAGTGGGCTCACAGTCAACTCTGCTCCGTTTGGCTCCGTGCACTTCTGTGCTTACTTACAGTTGTCTGAGCTGACACACATTTGTTTATCTGATAATGGTGAACACGACGTGCGCTAAGCTAATGTGTGCCATTAGAACCAACTGGTGTTTGTGTGAATCACTCAGAGCAATTCACTGTGAGTGGTCAATATTTGTACTCGTTATCTGTGATTAGCCACATTAATGCAGAACACAGAAAGAAAAGAAAAGGCTATTGTGAACACGTCTCTTGCGCTTCGCTGCTGTTGCTTTGCCTTTCACTGATGAGATCAGACCAAGATGCAATACACATAATTGAGGACATTAAGGAAACATAAATAAAGGTTGTGCACAGCCATACGTTAGCAAAAAACACCACGTCAGCGGTGACACTGACCATAAGTTAGCCCTGTGGGGACATGCTGGACACACTGATAACTACTAGAGCACCAGCTGCAATGAGAGCACACAAACCACAAAGCTAATGAGTCACCGCACCACACCTAGTGTTCTCATGCTAGCCATGTATACCTGTATCTTTCATTATTGCAGTGCTGTTACTTTGGTAAAATCTGTCCACATTGAGAAATATAAACACTTGCCAAATTACCTAAAAATACCTTTGTGATAGATAGAAGTTGTCTCCATGACAACCTTTTGCCAAAATGGACACAAACAAAGTAAAAGACAATGAACTAAACTGAAAAAAGAAGATTTAATCATTACTTCCACATAGGAAGTTCAAATTTACCATTAGACAAACATTCAGTATAAGTCATTTCTACAGTTTACAGAGTTCTTACTCTAAACTGCCAAAGCTACATTTCCATATCTGTACAGAAGACAGACAGACTTTTATCACACCATGATATTTACAGTCGTTGTTTTCTGATTTGAATATTCATATAACTGTTTGTATACTGCAAAGTTCACAATACAGGTCCTTCATCGTAACATGTCTCGCACAGCCAGTGCTGATCACAGTATGTCGTGACTAACGTGGGGGAATTTCTCTGAAAGCTGTAGATTACAGCACAAAGGGAAACAGTGTAAAGCAAAGATAGCACACAGTGCAAATGCAAATAATATTCTGACTTAAATGTAAGTTTAATTTGCCCAGATGATGATGTCCAAGAATCTGGAGCTGGTGCTGGAAACGCTGCTCACAATGTTTGAATGTGCGCGAATCAGAAGCAGGTCCGCACGTGCACATGATTATCTGCACACACTCTGAAAATCTAACATGTGGGCTACCTCAGTCAGCTAATGCATCCTGATAATCCCCGTGCATGGTAAACAAACACACGAAAAGCAATTTTTCAGTAAAGAGGATTCATCAGCCCTAACCTGTTTTTAACTGCTCAATAGGGAGGTCCCCACACGTGCATGCACCAATATTTTAGAGGATTAAAATGGGGACAAACTCTAAATGTCATGTGATTAAATAGGAGGTAGCTTTGGGGTCAAGGACTGTAGGGGAGAAAGAGCAGAGTTAGAAATCAGCCCAACACACCGCCACACCGCCGCAGAGAACATGTATGTGGGTGTAAACATTTCCACATTTTTACACACAGAGTAAAGAGCACACTCAAATTCTCACCTAACTCGCCATCACTGGAGAAGAGAGAACGAACAGCACACACTGCCTCAAAGAAGAAAGCCATAAGTGTTGCCTGACTAGAGAAAAAAAAAATCCCTTTCAGTTAACTTTATCCATGTCGCAGGCTACGTCCTACCTAAAAGACTCGCACCTGAACTCCCACTGATCCTGTCTTCCTCGGCTTCAGTACTTCCTCTTTTTTAAATCGCTCTGATAGCACTCATTCAAATAAAGGCAATGTTGTATTCAAGTACTGCACAGCCACATCCTATGAGGAAGCAACACAGACACAAAGAGCAGTTTCTGTGTGGAAGCCATAAAATGCCCAAAAAGCGTCTTTGCATTCACTGGACAATGTCCAGCTGGTCAGCAAAGACTGTCCTGTTATGCTTTATGGACATTGGAATCACACTGCCCAAACTTAATTCTAAAGCTTACAAGCGGCTGTAGTGAAGCCAACTGTGGATTAGTAGAGTTTTCATATTTGGAAATTATTCAAATCACCATGTTTCTACAAGCTTCTATGAACGGGGCGAGCATTTGAAGTGATGGAATGGCCTGTGACTGTTTTATAGAACCATCTGAATATGTAATCTGGCTTTTTCCAGTCTAGGAAAAAAAAAACTTTTAGCCACCTGACTGCTATCAAAGAAAAGGATACATCAAACAATGTCAGACTAATTTGTAAAAGCACATTGTAATCTAAAACGTCCATTAAAAATGAGATATTTTACCATCCAAACACAGCAAAAAGTACATTTTTAGATGATGTAAGCAGCTCTCAAGACAAGCTCAGAGTGCCCAGCTTCAGTTCACTTGAATATTTCCTTTGGATTTCATCACTATTGGATCACTCATATCAGCAGCAGAGACTTGTACTCAACACACAACTTATACAATGTGAGGTGCTTTCCCTTATACAAATTTAAAGGATAT